ATTATTTCCTCAGGAGAGACTCCTGGGAGTGGAAATTATTGGATCAGAGGGATGAACCTGTTTGAAAACTCCTGACCCAGAAAGCTCACCTGCATTCCCACACCACTGGCAGGGACGGAGGAGCCCCTACCCCACCAGACTCACTCACATGGCTGTTTTTCAAAACAGCGATTTCACAGCAGAAGAAAAGTATCGCACTGCTGTTTTAATGCATCCTTAGTAAGAATGACTATTTAAATATGTTTACTGTGAATTATTATCAAATGCCTTTTAACTATTTTTTTCCTATTTGGTGTATTTCCTATTTACTTCTAATACAACTTTAAACATTATGGAGAGCAAACTTTTGTCTTATGCTTTTTAAGTGAGAACAATGAAGCTTAGAAAGGTTAAATAAATTGCAATGGCTACAAACTGGTGAAACTACAACTTGAAATGGAAGTACTTAAACTTATTTTTCTATACAACATCTTAGAATGAATCCACTTTCAAATCATTCTTCACCCACATCCTCCCAAACCAGACAAGAAAATTCGCTCTTCACCCTCATAGGCTGAGTCCATTTTGCACTTCTGGTTTGTTTTTCCAAGTAAAATTTTTTATAAATAAACTTTTTATTTTGAAATAATTTCAAATTTACAGAAAAGTTGCCACATAGTAAAGAGTTCCCATATACTTCTCTTGTAGCTTTAGCTTCCCCTAAGTGTTCTTATCTTACACCGTTGTGGTACATTTGTCCAAACTAAGAAACCAACAATGGTACATTACTATTAACTAACTGCAGACTTTATTTGGATTCCACCAGTTTTTCCTTTAATGTCCTTTTTTCTGTTCTAGGATCCAGTCCAGGCGACCACATTGCATTTGGTGTTATGTCTCCTTAGTCTCCTGAGAAATTGTGACATTTTCTCAGTCTTGTTTTTGATGATCTTGACAGTTTTGAGGAGTAATGGTCAGGTATTTTATAGGATGTCCCTCAATTTGGGTTTGTCTGAAGTTTTTCTCATAATTAGGCTGGGGTTACAGGTTTTTGGAAGAAAGACCACAGGGGTGAAGTGCCTTTCTTGTTACATCATATGAGGGGGTACATGACAACACTAGTAATGTTAACCTTCATTACTTGGTTTAAGGTGGTGTCTGCCAGGTTTCTCTGTTGAAACCTACTAGTTTTTCTTTTTTCATACTTGTTTCTTTGGAAGTGAGTCACCTAGCTCCACCTTCTGGAAAAGGGAGTATCTACAAGTTATTTAGAATTTGGTAGGGAAGATCTGTCTCTTTTCCCCCTAATCTAATCAACCTATCAATCTATCCAGTTCATTCATTATTATTACTTATTTACTCACTCACAAATTTATTTATATCAGTATGGACTCATGGATATTTATTTTATTCTAGTGTTATAATCCAGTACTAGGTTATTTATTTTGTTGATCAAATTGTTCCAGCTTTGCCACTGGGAGCCCTTTCAGGCTCTTGTGTCCCTCTGACATACCCTCATCCTTTTGTTGTTTGAATATCTCCTTACTTTCTAGAGCTACAAGATGCTCCAGGCTCCTCTATTTCCTGTCCCAGCACTAAGATCTGGGAGCTGGGTATGCCTTTTACTCTAAAGATGTCACTGCTTCTGGGTCTCTTGGGACAGAGTCAGGTCATACATGTATGTATACCATGTATATACCCTTTGACTTTTTAATCCTAAATTGCTGTTAACTTCTTTTTTATTATGTGTTTCATCAACAACTATTTAAAGAAACTAAAGTTTTACTAGGTTCTTGCTGTTGTTGACCACTTTTTAAAAATAATTTATTTTAAATAAAAATTTTTTGGTTGCATTTAAATAAAATTTTTTGGCTGCATTGGGTCTTTGTGGCTGCTCAGAGGCTTTTCTCTAGTTGTGGCAAGCAGGGGCTACCCTTTGTTGTGGTGCGCAGGCTTCTCCACTGCGGTGGCTTCTCTTGTTGGGGAGCACGGGCTCTAGGTGCATGGGCTTCAGTAGTTGTGGCACTCAGGCTCAGTAGTTGTGGCTCACGGGCTCTAGAGCACAGGCTCAGTAGTTGTGGTGCACGGGCTTGGCTCTGCAGCATGTGGGATCTTCCTGGACCAGGGCTCGAACCTGTATCCTCTGCATTGGCAGGTGGATTCTTAACCACTGCGCCAGCAGGGAAGCCCCTGACCACTGTTTTATTCTCAGGTCTTCCTCTTTCAATGTGCTCATTCTCATTCTGCTGAATTAGAAAAGGTCTGTGAGAAATAACCTCTGAGCTCTTCAGTGTTCAAAAATGTCTATTTTGCCCTCAAATAAGTCAAATATGGATTCTATAATCGAAGTTATTTTTCTTCAGAATTTTCAAGGTATCATTTTATTATCTTCTAATACCAATATTATCATGAAGGCCGCGAGTGCCAACCTATTATTCCTTGGTAGACAAGCTAGGTTTTGCTATTTTTGGCGTCTCTGGAAACTATTAGGATTGTCCCTTGACTTCTGTTCTCAAATGCCAGAAGACTTATCTTTTCTTAGTTCTTTGAAGTTTTCTTCTATTTTCTCCCCTCTCTATTCTCTTTTCTTTCTCTTCTGGAACTCCTATTAAACAATCTGGGAGCTTCTGAATTGATTTCCCACATTTCAATTTTTCTCTCACATTGTCTCTTGGCCTGTCTGCCAGTTTATAAACTATTTCAACTGTGACCATCTGCTATTCAGCCCATTTACTGAGTTTTATATTTTCACAATTTCCAAGTTCTGACTCTATTTTTAGCAACAGTTTTACAAAATCAACATTTTCTCTAATTTCCTTAAACATATATTTAAAGTTGTTTTCTACCTGTATTCATATTCTCATATGTTAATTTTTCTATTTATTAAAATTTGGTGCCTCTTTCATTGTGTTAGCTTCCCTCAAATGTTTGGCTAGCTGTGGTTAGCTGCCACTCATTTTTGTTTCAAAAATCATTGTTCAAACACCCCTGGTTCTTAGCTATGATTACAGGGGTCTATCTCCAGCAATAGTGAAGGAGGGGCTAAATGTGGTCTTGGGCAAAATGTGCCAATGACGGCTCACCTCTGGAGTCTGGGGCTCCCTATCCACCCTACAACTCAGTATTCCTAGGACCCTACCCTGCCTTTCTAGCTCCAGGGACCACACACACTGCCTCAGCCTGTAGGTCAGTGCCTGTGATGCCTGCTGTTCAGCACAACTTCCAGAGAAGCACAGATACTCTACCACTCCCTGTCTTCTATGAGCTCAGAGGATGCAAGGCAGCCCCATCTTCAGTGTTGTCCTGAATATGTTCCAGACTGTTCTCTCCTCCATTAATCAACCCTATGACAACTATTGTCATCTTACAGAAATTTCTCAAAATTTAGATCTAATGGCACTTCTCTCATTCTCCAATACGAATATGCCTTTTTATTTTTAATAATTCACTTCTACAAAGGATTTACGGTGTCAGATAGGGCAGATGTAGATGCTCAGTTTGCCACTTTGACCCCATTTGTATCTATATTCCTAAGTAATACTGGCCTACAGATAAGGTAGAAGTGTGTGTGTGTGTGTGTGTGTGTGTGTGTGTTTATGTACACATGCTTTGCTAGGGGTTGATATGAAGATAATGCTGGCCTCTTAAAATGTATTAAGTAGATCATATGGCACTAATATTATCTGTTCTTTGAAAGTTTGGAAAAACTCACCAGTGAAACATATCTACGTATCTGCAGGTTAAATGTTTGATAACTGTTCTAATATTTTAAATTGCTCTTCATCTCTTCAGAGCTTCCATCTCTTTTATTTATAAAATACTAACATGAGCTTTTATAAAATATTAACATGAGGGACTTCCCTGGTGGCCCAGTGGTTAAGACTCCATGCTTCCAATGGAGGGGGTGTGGGTTTGATCCCTGGTCAGGGAACTAAGATCCCGCATGCTGTGCAGTGCAGCCAAAAATAAAATAAAAGTACAAAAAAAAAAAAATTTACATGAATTTAGTTCATTCTAATATTTTATAAACTCTCAAATCTTTCCTTTTATTTAGAATTTTAAAAACTTACTATATGAAATAGATTTCTCTTAATGTTTTCTTATTCTAATTTTGTACGTTGTTGTTTTCTATTTTACCCTGAATCTGCCCACTTTATGATTACATTTTTTCTGCACATAAAGAATAAGCTCCTATATTTGTCAATCTATTATTTTTGGTTCATTAATTTCCACCTTTATCTTTATTTCTTTCCTGGAGTTACTTTTCACTTTTTAAACATGTTAAATTGTCTTCTTAGTTCATTTGTTTCCTTTTTGTTCTTAATGTTAACAATAAAAGATTAGGCTAAATGCAATATAGTATCCTGGACTGGATCCTGAAACAGAAAGAGGAGGTGTAGTAGAAAAACTGGTGAAATCCTAATAAAATCTATAGTGTAGTTAGCAGTAACTTACCAATGTTAATTTCTTAATTTTGACAAATGAACCATGGCTATGTAAGATGTAAACAATAGGGGAAACTGGGTGAAGTACAGGAACTCTCTATACTATCTTTCCAACTTTTCTGTAAATCTAAATTATTCCACGTTTATTTAAATTTTTTTCAAAACTTTTGTAACTTTGTCAATAACTGTAAGTTCTGATATATGGCATTCCCATTCCAAGACTAAGTAATTTCCCATAGTATATTATTCCTTCTTATTTATTTAGTAGTTTTAATTTCCAGTTAGTAAGGTTTCTAAAATTAAAATTTATTTTTAGTATTACTAAAAATAAGTTGGTAGAAATGACCGTACAGTTTTCACAATCTAGAACCTGAATTTTTCTCTGTAGCCTAAACTTTTCTGCCCACCCCCCAACCCCCTGCCAGAATCACACTTTATGGAGGGGGTACACTATGAAAGTGTGGTCATAGTAACTACAGTTTTTAATTGAAACTATGTTTTCTGTTTGTGAAACAAACATAAAGGAACCAGGCAAGGATCTCTGAGACTTTTCATAACCGATAGTAAGAGTCTTACCAGCTGCTGTTCCACAGGTGGGGGCACATCCAGATTTGCATAAACAATGGCAGGGTTGTAAAGACTAAACACCACAGGGTAAAACACCTTCTTACCTATAAATTAAAATATGTTTACATCACAAAAAGAAGTAATAAAATAAAGCATTGATCTTTATTGCAGTAAAGTCTTTACTACGACTTCGTTAAAGTGTTTCTTTGTTACATATGATGATCTTATTTTATTAATACTGTATTTTATCAATGTTCAGGTTACTGAAACCTCATGTTGATGAACATGATGATGATTTTATAACATATCAGTAAGTTTGGCTATGAAACTATAACCTTGCAAAAGAACAGAGAAAAAAAGACTAAAGGGTGCTTTATTCCCTTTTGACATGTTTATTCCCTTTGACTCTGGGGCGATGCACAAAAGCATTCTCTCACCTGTTCTGAGGTGAACCATTTATTAATCATTACGTCATCGAATTAGCAGTAACAGATGTAGGTTAACCTCTGACAATCACCAAGAAACTTAGAAACTTCTGTTAAACTCACCCTTCAAAATGAATCATAAAAACAGTGAATCCAAAGGATATTGTATAATGGATACATAAATAATAATTAGAATATAGAATTGCAGACAGATCTAAACAAGATTTGGAAAACTTGGGAAGATTGAGTTAAAAATACATGATGTGGGGTTCCCTGGTGGCGCAGTGGTTGCGAGTCCGCCTGCCGATGCAGGGGACACGGGTTCGTGCCCCGGTCCGGGAAGATCCCACATGCCGCGGAGCGGCTGGGCCTGTGAGCCATGGCCGCTGAGCCTGCGCGTCCGGAGCCTGTGCTCCACAATGGGAGAGGCCACAACAGTGAGAGGCCCGCATACCGGAAAAAAAAAAAAAAAAAAACCCACAAAAAATACATGATGTAATAGCCCCCTCAAAAGGCCTTGTCATTAGCATTCAGATTGTTAGCACTGAAGGGACCCTTTAAGGCTAACTAACTAGCCCATCTCCTCTCAACAGAGATCCCCTTGCTGAGACTGGCCTCAATCAGACGTGATAATATGTAGCACTCAGAAATTGTCAAGGACCCTGTAAGTAATGTGGCAGTCTTTTTATTACAAGATCCCCAGCAGATGTTCATCTCATCTTCATTAAAACCCACTTAGGGAAGGGGAGCTCAATTTCCCAGAGGCAAATCTATTTCTTTTACATTAAGGAAATAATGTAAAATATATATAAAATATATATTTTTGCCTGGTAAAAAAAAAAGGTAAATCTAACCCTCATTTATCCACTTGACTCTCAGGGAGTTCCTGACAACCATCCCTAACCAAATTGATTAATAAGAAGATAATAATTTGTACGATATGAGTAGTTCTATATAAAAAAACATTTACTATGAGATTTTTTTAATATAGAAAACTTCCTTTTCACATTTAAAATAATATTTGATATATAAAAATGTCATTTGCTCTTAACATTTTCAAAAAATATGTACAACATAAAACAAAGTATAGTAATCATCCCAAAATGCACAGTCCGAAGACCAAGCACCATCTTTATCTAGACCTCTGCATGAGTGCATGCCTGCATTTGTGTTGGCACCACCTGCCTGAGGTAGAGTGCTTCTGAATCTCACACATCACACTATCACTTTGCTCTTTTTTGATGGGTGCTACTTCCTCCTTGTCAATTTCAAGATTTATTTCTTTGCATTTGTTTATTTGAATCCAAATGTATACAGTGGAATCTGGCCATAACAGAACAAGGGGTATGAACTTCTTCAGAGGGGCAAATTTTCACTTTTCTACTTAATATTCCAGCTAAATTACACCAAATATAACCTTTAAAAAACATAATTAACTTGATTCAAAATATGGGATGTGCTGACATTGTTCTAAATTCTACACTCAACCCACCTACTAACATTTTACCCACCTGGCTCAGCATTTAACCGGCAGCTGTTAAGGAATTCAGCTGAGAAATATATATCAACATCGCAGAAAAACATCAAGACCTCTCCCTTGTCCCAAGCTCGGGCACCCACATTTAGTCCTCGTCCACGATTAAATTCTTCATTCAATGAGACCAAGGTGTAATTGTGAAAATTAGACTCACTATGAGGAAAGCACATACAACAAATGGTAAGCCCCACTTAAAGCTGACTCTCTTAACGCAACTTACAAAATATATTTTACCTTCAGGTATTTATTATGTTGGGTCTACATTCATATAAGGAAAGACAATGATCAGTTTCATGTGTATGATCATCATCAGGGACAGACAGTCAACTAAATGCCCACATTTGAGGCAACATGCTAGTGATGTGAAGTTAATAAGTGTTGAGGGGCCACTACTCTTCAGGATCTTAAAAACCTATTAGGGAGGTAAGAAATATACACGTGGAAAAACAGCATAATATTTGGTAATAAATAATGCAATCCACATGAATGATACATACAAAGAGTGCTCTTCTCTCTAGTTCTTCAGATCTTTGCTCAAATGTCCCCTTATCAGAGGGATCCCCTCATGCTACATGTGAAGTAGCCCTGATCTCCCTTTTCTTTAATCTCTATTCCCTTGCCCAGCTTTGTTTTCCTCAGTACCACCAGACATGTTTGTTTGTCTCCCACTAGAATGTAAGCTCCATGAGAGCAGGGATTTTGTTTTGTTCATTACAACGCCCCTCAAAGGGTAGGAGTTCAATAAATACTTTCTGAATGAATGAATGAACAGCAGTTCTGAGGAAAAAAGATTGCTTTTGTCTGAAGTAGTTAGAGAAGACGTTAGAAACAGAATTTAAGTTATGCCTTAGTTAAAATCCTGAATTCAGTGGTGAGTGTAAAGGTCATTCCAATTAATTATTCTCAAAGGCAAGGAGGTAAGAAAGTAGAAAGCTTTTTAAAGAACAGGAATCAGACAAGTCAAACTGGAACACAGGGATTCTAAAATGGAACAATGAGAGAAGACCAGAAAAGGGTCAGACTAAGGAGTACCTTCCATGAGAAGTTGAAGAACTTGGTCAGTGTTCTAAAGTCAAGGAGGAGTCAGGGTCTTTCCACCAGGGCAGTGGTTTATCACAGCCAAGTCCATGCACCCACAGCATCAGAATTCCCCGGGAACAGGTCAGAAATACATATTCTCAGGCCCCACCCCAGGCCCCTGAATCAGATACTAGGGGAGGAGCTGAGCATCTGCGTCTCTCCCGGGACAAGTCACTCCAGGTTACTGATGTTAAAGTTGGAGAACTGCTGCACTAGGGAACTGCTGGATCAAAAAAGGAACATTTTTAAAAGATTACTCTTAAAATAGTATAGAATGGGAAATGGAGAGACTGAAGCAAAGACTCAAACAGTGCATGGAGTGGACTCCAAGTACTCTGAGTGCCCATGCCTCCCCCGCCCCCTTTATAGGTTGTAAATCTCTCCCTTCTTTTGGGGAAGCTGCTGATCACCACCTCACACTCCCAGCACCAAGTGGAGGAACTAATCACAGAATACCCCAACCGCAGTAATTTCCTAGGGGCAAGGACCAGACTCAAGCTGGGCTAATCAAAATACCCCCACCCCACCTGGCCATAGTGACTGGCTCAAGAGTGGGCAAAAGTCCTTCCCTGGGATTCTCTCAACTGGATCTGGGAGAAAGCTCTTTCCTCTCTGATGGCAAAGCTGAGAAGATGTGAGCCCAGAGCCGCCAACAGCCATATACCTCACATGTGGAAGAAGCCAATCTGCAACAGGAGAATGAAGTCAACATGCAGAGTAAAACAGACAAGAAGACAAGAGAATTCTGATGGTATTCAAGTCTCTGGTCCCAGTCCCTAAGATACCAAAGCTGTTTTGGTTTTCTTCTCATTAATTTGGTTATAATAATCCCTTTAATTCTGGGAGTTATCCAAAATTCTTCATAAAAGCTCCCATTTTCCTCAACCAAATTCAAGATAAGTTTCCGTCATTTGCCACAGAGGAGTCTTGATTAATGCAGGGACAACTTCAGTAATACCAACGTGAGTCACTGGTACTTAGTAGGTGATCTGAAAATGGTAAGGAGAGAAGAGACAAAGGGAAGAAATGGAGGGAGGGGAGCGTGGGTTAGAGCGGTGGCAGCAGCAAGGAAAGGACAGAACAGAGGTCCTGTGCGGTGAGCAGAAACCGATTAATCAGAGGTAGAGAATGAGTGAAAGACGCTGGCCCTCAGACATCAAGCCCAGGGAATCATGAGAACCTTCGTCTGAACTGAAAGAGGGCCATCAGGAGGAGGAGCCAGTGAAGGCGGAGGAGGAGACAGTGTTTGTTTTTCCTACTCCAATGCTGTGAGAGTCCCTTTGGGGTAGGGACTGCAACTCCCTCCTCTGTGCCAAGTCCTATCCCAACCACCCCAGTTAGACTCCCGAGCAGTGTACCTGGAACATAGTCGGTGGGACTCAATGAATGTTAGTTGAACGATTCGAGAAGAATGGCCGGCCAAAGCTGGACTCTTAGGGAATGGCCACAACTAGCAGAAAGGTAAAGAAGCAAGTAAAGGATACAGAGTTGATGTGGTCAGAAAAGTCAATCAACCTATATCTTACATTATAACATATCTACATTTACAAAATATTTACATTTTACAAACATCAGAGGAGAGGTTCAAGAAGGAAGTACTGGTTAGGTATCAAATGTAAGAAAGCAAAGAGGATGACAGAGAAAAGGCTGAATTTGGCAGTTAGGTCATAACTCTAGGCCCATAACTTAGAGATGAAAAGGCTGAGAAGCTACAGAATTAATAATGGAGTATTAAGGAATTACTAATTCATTCATTCAAACCTCTGAGCACCTACTGTGTGCCAGGTACTATATGAGTTGCTTGGTTAGATAGCTACTGTTTTGTGAGGTTCAGATGTGAAAGGACAGAAACCTAATAGCAGTTACTGGGTACTCTAGAGTCAGGCGGGGGTCTCTTAAGGATAGGGGAGACCTAAGCATCATTTGCAGGGTGAGAAGGAACTTAGGAAAATGGAAGGAAAGAAAAGTGGCAAGCAAGAGAGACAAGCTCAGGAGATGATATCCAAGTGAAGGGATTAGATTTAGAAAAAGGGAAAGAGTTCAAAAAGAAGGAAATGGAAGAATAAATGGAGGCAAATATATACAAGGTGAGTGGGCCGCAGAGTGAGAGCACCCTAATCATGCCACACTGTCTAAGAGGTTAAGGGAAGATGAGTCATTTAGAGTGAACTTAGGGGTGAAATGAGGAACTTACTAGCACCACCACTCACATGCTCAGCCAACTTTTAATGGCAGCTATTCAAAATTATTCATTAAGTATCTGAAATTCTCATTCTTCTATTATTATATATAAAGGACTTCAATGTGGACATGGCTCACCAACCTTGTGACAGATTCTAGGATAGACTTGACTTTAGATAGTCCTTCTTTACCAAAATACACCACTGTGAGATGAATTCTCTTGTCCTGATGAATACATACATCCCTAACAGAATTGAAAAATAAAGTTCATTCAGGAAAATATATGAGGCACTACTCATTCAGAAAGCAATCACATGAAGCTTTAACAAGAAAACAAATGAAGCATTACTCATTTAGAATGAAATCACACAAAGCTTTAAGTAAATATAAAACTGGCAATATTGCTGAATTTTGCCATATTTCAAAACATTTTTGGAACTTTTGCTTTGGTATTGCCTTCAGACGCAAATTATAAGCTACTCAAGGAAATAAGTTCAATCAGTTCAAAACCAAATAAATAAATAACTCAAGTTTGGGGTCAAGAGTTACTTTGTCTTCAGATTGGCTAATTAGAGAAATTATACTTATCATCAAGGAGTAAATATTTGTCATGATTGAGATTAGTAACTGTAAAGAATAATGTAGCATCTGAAGGTAATTCCAAAAAAGGCAATTAAAAAATGCTTTAGGAAATCAGATCTCAAGCGAGCAATTTCAAAAACGTAAAACTCATTTGGAAGCATGACTTCTAGGTATTCTGCAACAGAACTGTGTTAACTTTTACATCCAACAACTTCAATGAGAACAAAGATTGGGACTACAAAGAATTAAAACTATCATATTAAAGTATTAAAAACATGACAATTGTTCAATTAAAACAAAAAAGTAAAACTTTCCTCAAATCGTTACCCTAATATGTAGCTGTTAACTTTTTAACACTTCAGCATTTAAAAATATCCAAATTTAATGATTAAGAAAAAGAAAAAAATTCTTTTAAAAACTGCTACAGTCTCTGCTTCCCAAGACGGAATAACATTCTCCCACGTTTACTTGAATATTTGTATTTCTAAAATTTCTTTCAATTTTGAAATTCAAATTGTTCTCAGGGAATTTTCTGGGGAGATAGTAATGCTCTATATCTTAACTGGAGAGGCAGTTACATGGGTGTATACATTTGTCAAAAGTCATGAAACCTCTATCCTTGGAATATGTCGATTTTATTGTATGTAAGTTACACATCAATAACTTTATTTTTAAAAATTCAACTTGTCCTAAAATGAATTCAAACACAATTATAAAGGTGATCAAATTTAGTTTCTAATAGTTGTCACCCTCAATTTACTTCACAGTTCAAGTTGTCAGTAACACAATATACTATACATGCCTTAAGAAAAAAGGGAATATCAAAACATAAAGTTCCCTAAAGCCAAAAAAATTGTTCTGTGATTCTAAGTAATCATACTCAGTGAAGGTAAATTAAATAAAATGGCATGAAATGTGCTTTTTTTTTTTTAGGAGTGCTCAGTCAAATCACTAAGCCCCGGGAGTTACCTGAAGTTCTGCATAAACTGTGCAAATGCTTCAGTTCTTTCAGCAAGCGGCACAATGATATTAATAATTGATCTAGTAATGTCAATCATCTCGTTCTTCACTTTCATGAGAGGTCCAAAAGGGCGGAAGAGAGTCACGTGTCTATATTCCGTAAGGTCTGCTTTCTTAAAAAAGAGTTCATACAGTGTGCCCTTATCTCTCTCAGTGCGATAATAACCTAAAGGAAAGAGTTAGGAACAAAGATGTCTCCATGTCAAAGTTTACAAGTTCAATATGACTATTGATTTTACTCAAAGATCAAAAGTGTGATACCAAACTTGTAGGGTTTTTATATATTTGTGAAAATGTTATCCCCACAGTATAGTCAACAACAACTGTTTCTTTAAAAGGAGAGGTTAAAAAAATGTTCACCACTCTGCTATATTATTCAACCCATAAAATATGCTCCAAATGACAATGATTCCTTTTCATATATGACTTTAATAGCAGAGCCTATCAACACAGAAACCAAATGATGAAAATAAAGAAATTACTTCTAGCAATATTAAATTCTAGATCTGACAGTCAAATCATCTATTACTTGGTTCAGCTTAACAAAAATGAATTGAGTGCATTTGTGTCAGGCACTGATGGTATAAAGAAGGCTACATGGTCCCAGTTTTTTGGAAGGGTCAGTCTAGTGAGGAAGACAGAAAAATAAAGAAATAACAATATAGTGATATACACATGCAAACACACAAGACTCTGGATAGAATGAAGTCAGACAAAGAAAAATCAGTATAAATTTAAACATGGTGATATGAGACACCTTTGGGAATAAAGTATGGAAGTCTATTGGGCAATCTGGTTTTTAAGTGTGACACTCAGGGGAGAGGTTAGACCTATAGATGTGTGAGTCAGTCAATATCTGGAAATAAAATGGTAAACCAGATTGACTGGTCCCACTCCTCCTGAGGCTTACAGTGTATCAGGAACTACAAATCAGGAAGTGGGAAATGCCATATACTATGACAAGTGCTGTGAGATGGGACACAGGGTAGAAGAAGTACTGCTGTCTTAAACTTGCAGGTTGGAGATCACCTCGAAGAAGTAGTGACATCGAAGCTGAAGTCTGGTAGAGAAACAGGAGTTACTAAATCATTGTCAGTAATTATTTTTTTGATGAGGGAAGCAGCACAGTGGAGGAAAAGCAAGGGACAAAATGTGTTCCATGCAGAGAAAAATCCTGTAAGTGACAGAATCCGAGGAGAGTTATAAGAAAGGCAGAAGCTGCGGAATATAAAACTGGCATAGGTTCCTTCCTTTTTAGGCAGACATGAAGACATTTTACATATCTTAGTTATATTATTTCCTCTGCAGCTTTCAATTCTGCCATAAGCTACAAACATACACAGTGAAAAGACAAAAAGCTGAGCTTTCAGAAAAATTACAAGCGTTTTGAAAGAAACAACCCATCAAAAATTGCAGGAAGTGACAGGGGAAAAGAGGTGGCTATAGGGAGAAGACAGCTAAAATGCCACAGAAAAGCACAAGGCCCTCCCTGATGGCCTCCAAAGGCTCAAGGTATTATATTATATTACAGCAAGTGATACCCATGATGACTTAGGGTCAAAAAAAAAAAAAAAAACTACACGTGGTATACTGTTTACAGAATCGAGCAAAGAGAACTTTCAAGACATATTTGTATCCAAAATGGTTTTAAGTCTACAATTAAATATCTAGCAGGGGGTATTAAGATGGAGATGGGTTGGGATTTATAATTATTCCTGTTTATATTAATCAACAAATTTCTTAAATTTATACAAGTGTTCCTCAACTTTTGAGTCACGTCCCATTTTGACATATAAAAATCCTATGCCCTTTCTGTAGCCTGTATTAGGAAAATAGGTTTATTTCTTTACTTTTCCAAATGCCAAATATGCTTTTCAAAACTATGTATGCCTCTTGATGTTCTGACATGTGTTTCTCCTCCACTCAAAATATAGAACAATCACTAATCTAAATCAGGTTCTTTTTCTTTCCTTTAGGAAATGGTTTTCAAATCTTGAGCCTTAGTTCATATATTTTAAAAAATATAAAAAATGAACGTCAAGACCAGTTAAGACATGAATGCAAATACATATACGTGCAAATACATATACAATCCTAAGAGCCCTTCAACTTGGGGAGTATTTTGCTATATAAACTTAGATTTATTCTATTTCCCTGCTCCTTATTTTCTATTTTATCATGATCACATTATAACTTTTTCTAAAAAGCCACTTCAAATTCTTGGTGGAATTTAGTGGGTAAAAATTTAAATGTTTTAATACTGTGGATAATGACTGACATATTACCAACATACAATAACAGAATTTTGTCATACTAACGTAACTATGGACCAACACTGTTTTCACATTACCTTCTATGAAGTCATTTTCATTAAATACCAGTTTTTCTCCAAGGGGACCATCTTCATCTTCCTGTTCATCGTCTTCATCAGGATTATTAATGACCTCCAAGCCAGCTTCAATAACTTCTACCAATTCATCTCGCTTATCTTTTCTAACTGGTTTTTCCTCAGGATGGCGAGTGAGACCCATTTCCAACTGGAATACTTTCATTAAGGTAAAACTTTCAAAGGGAATGACTCCATACTCACTAGGTAGTTTGGCTCCTATGCTAACTTCAGCTTTGTCAATTTGTGAATGAAGAAACTCTAAAAGATCACTAGGTGCTTGCTCTTTGTTGCCTTGATAGCCTATGCCATTAGCCCCTACATTCTTTCTCTCCTGCAGTGATCTCATCTTCTCACTCATTTCTTGCAATTCTTGTTTTAATTGGGCAATCTGGCGTTTCAGACTGGTTGCTCTGGTTTGATAATGTTCTTCCTGCTCCTGTAGGAGGGCTTGATAATACTCTTTACCATAATTTTCCCCAACGATACCGGGAAGAGATGCATTTCCATCAGTCTGGGGGGCACATTCCAGAAGGTACAAAAATAATATTAAACTGCAGAGTAAAGCGAGACCCAACAGTAGCCAGTGGGTCCGGGTCTGAAGAATCAATCCTCTTCTAGGCATTCTTATTAATGTGGACTTGCCTAATGAGATGTGCTCTTTGCTTGTTCATACCTTTTGCGAAAGGTTATAAAAAAGTAAAAACAAAATCAGGATTTCCATAAAAGGTACCAAAATGAATTTGGCTGTAGCTTAAAAAATTTCTTCCTTCAGCAGTGAATTCTACTTGCAGAAATAATGCATATTTCCTATATTGTTACCATGATATCCAGAATAAGGAAATCTGATCTACACAATCAGATAAAATCCATGACACGGGTGGTGATTTTTCTGAAAGAAACAGATCAGAATCAATCAGAATTTTGTTTCTTTAAGTATATCACACTGTTGACAGCTTCAGTAAACTTAGCTATGTGACTACCATAGGCAGAGCACCAGGAGAGGCACTAATACAATATAGAATATTCAGTAAATGCTGGGAGAAAGTACTAAGAAAAATACCTTATGAAACACTAAAATATCACAGGTAATACTTTCAACCATAATGTCTACACATCCATAACCTGAATGAATCAAAGAAACATTAAACTTACGTTTAGCATAGTTTGTGTTACAATAGATAGATTCTATTGGTCCCTAACTATTTGAAAATTACATCATGTATAACTCTTTATTGACATAATATTTCAATTAACTCGCCATTTCCCACCTATAACATATCACCATTTGGGAGCTGAGTTTCTATAAAATGTTTTTGTTATGTTGATAATGGCTTTCTAGAGAGAGATTTTCTTCCAGTTTATTCAATTCAAGCATTCTACTTCATTAATTTCTATAGCTCAACTCAGTCAATCTAAGAGCCTTAAAATTAAGTTGGGAGGAAAAGCAATTTCAAAAGGTCACAGACATCTGGAAAACACATTAAGAAACAGTTTTACATCCAAAGTCCTCCAGTAGATTATTTGAGCATTAGATCACATAATTCTTTCCAGTGTATTACACAGCAACAGATTTCCTACAGCTCTGGAAAGTTTGGAGTCTATATAAAGAAAAACAGGAACATATTTATCTATAGGGAAACAAAATCCAAGAACCGTTTATAAATTTACAAAATTACATGCTATCCCTCATACCACAACCAGCTATGTGAGCTCTTCCATGTTTCTTTCTAAACTAAGGATTCTTAATTCTAGAAATAGAGAAGGTTAAACCTAGGAGACAGGAAGCAGGGAAGGCCTCCACTGCAGAGAGAACTTCTATTCTAATGAAGGGTTTGTCAAGAAGAATATGTGATACTAAGCCTGCTTTTACCAGAATTGGTTTCTACCAGTGCAGCAGAACCTATGGAAGAAGGTCACTAGAGAACATCAGCCCTCGTCAGTTTCTTGGTGATTAGGAAAGCCTGGATGCCTTCTGTGAAAAATGCTGCAACGTGTGTTCTTTGTGGCACATATTTATACAAAATGTAGGATAGATTCAAACTTCTTTTGGCTAGTGGATCACAAACAATGGACTTAACTACCCTTAGCCATTTATTATTTTAATTAACCAAAAGATAACCAAGTATCCTTAAAATTTTAATTCACAAGTTTTACTATGATGGCATCTGTTTTACTGCTTATAAATCTTATTTATTTTAAGTGATATAGGAAAAAATAGGAAAAAAATATTGGTACCGTATCAAGAAAACTAAGTAAAATACAAAGCCAATATTAGTTCTAGGACTTTAACATGTCTCAGAACTGTAATTCTTAGCATAAGAAACCACTTAAACTTCATTGTTTAAAAGTTAAAACTCAGAGGTATCTCTTAACTATAAGTTATTACTAGCCCGTTTATAGGGAAAAGAAAGATTAAAACTAAAAATGTGAGAACATAATCTTGAATAAGTTAATAAAGTTATATATATATTTAACTATACTATATTTGAACTTGATAACAGAACTAACAGCATATAAGCTAAGTATGTCAACCTTATATTAATATGGTACCTCATGTTTTTTTTCTTTATATAGACAATGTATTTTAAACTGTGAGATATCACCCATTAATGGGTCACTACCAAAGGTTTACTTTTCAGTGAATTAGAACAGGAAATACTGGTGCATATCACATATAGTAGTAAATTCTGTGTTGCGAATACACACACACACATATGCATGAGCTAGCCACATAAAATGTATTTATAAGTGGGTTGTGATCCAAAAATCTTGAAAAATACTGATTTATAAGGTATTTTTATACATTTCCCATGTCATCCTTTCAGAATAGTGTTGCTAGTATCTTCTTTTGTATAGGAAAAATAGGTTCAGAAATGAAAAGATTTAAATAAGGTTATATAACTATTAAGTGGCAACATTAAAGCCAAGGTCTTCTTTCTCCCTCCTTTAAGCAAAATACAGGTCTGAGATATCGTACATGCTTATTTTACAGCTGAGTATCTTACGGTTAAATATTATCCACTGAAATGAAAGAAAAGTCGCTGTAATTACTTTAAAGATTTTTTTGATGTGGACCATTTTTAAACTCTTTATTGAATTTGTTACAATATTGCTTCTGTTTTATGTTTTTTGGCCATGAGGCATGTGGGATCTTAGCTTCCCGACCAGGGATCAAACCCGCACCCCCTGCACTGGAAGGTGAAGTTTTAACCACTGGACCTCCAGGGAAGTCCCTGTAATTATTTTAGAATATAAATGTTAGTTGCACAGCTCTGTGGTTGTTAAACATAAAAGATTCCAATTAAAGTCATATTTGCCTTTATGTTCCCTGAAGGGAACTCTTCAACAACATCCTAAAAAACTAGATTATGACAACTCTAAATATGTTAAGAATAGTATTAGAGAACACACCCATTTTCTGCCTGTTACACCTTGACTGCCATCATTCTATGTAGTCTGTCTGTATGATAAACCAGGTTCATTCACAACCCAGAGTTAATACCAAGCAACCTTCCAAGCACCAACAGCAGATAGTTAAGTGTTCTGAGGAGAGAATGCGATACTGTGGAAATGGGAAACTGAGCTGTCAAAGATATGTAAAACAAAATCAAAGAGCTCAGAGTAGAAAGAAACGTTAGGAGCCACCAATTCTTACACTCTAAAACAGACTAAAGAGACTTCCTCTTATAGCCAAGATCAAGTAACATGGACCAGATTTACTCTCACACTGGAAACAACTAAAAACAAACAAAATCAATTTAAAAAAACCCCAATATATGAAACAATGATTTTCAAGATACTGAACATTAGGTAATAAAGCACACTGATCCTTGGAGGAACAAAAAACAAGTGATTGCACAGCTTTCTGCCGTAGTTTCCAAGCCATAGCACAGGGAGTCCCCTCCTAAGTAGAGCCCAGGTAACTCCCTGAGTTGATGAGGTGGAGCTGACAGTCTGAGGAGACCAAGGCAGCTAGGTTCGAAGGATATAGTACCAGAGGAAAGAGCTGGACAGGGAGAGAACTCCAGAGATCTCAAGAGGACACCCTTTGGGTGTGCAGCAGAGCACTAATAAGGGCAGGCATATGAAGAAACTAACTGAGGCTAAGGACAGAAGCACACAAAAAATTAGAAGACACAGAACTCAGCATTCAAACAGGGCCAAGAATAGTGACTGTTCCCACCAGACAAACTGGAAAACCTCAAAATTCATGGGGCATTGGGTAGAGTACTCAAAAAGGTCTTGCCTCAGTGGTGGGAAATAATTAGCTCTAGACTAAATACGGGCCTGATCCTGCCAACAAACCTTAAAAGCAAGGCCTGAAAGGATCAAATTGTTTCCATATAACTGTACAACAAGCCTCACAAATATTTATAGGAATATAAAAATATCCAGCATCCAGTAAAATAAAATTCAAAATGTTTGCCCTCCAAACAAAAATGATCAGGCATACAAAGAAAAAGAAAAACACAACCCATAATGAAAAAATTAATGATTGAAACTGACCTAGAAATGACAGAGATGCTGGAATTCACAGAAAAGGACATTAAAAGTTATTATAACTATATTTAAAAAGATAATCAGGTTCAAAAAAATAGGGAGACACACAGACGACATTAAAAAAAAGATCCAAATTGAACTAAGGAGATGAAAACATCAATTTCTGAGATGAAAAATATACTGAATGGGATTAACAGCAGGTATTTCAGAACAAAATATTAATGAATTGAACACATAGCAACAGAAATTATTCAAAATGTAGAAGGAAAAAATAATGAAAAACATGAATAGAGCACCTGGTAAGCTGTGTGACAACTTCAAGCAGCCTAACATATATGTAATTAGAGTCTCCAAACAAGGGGGAGGGGGCTAGGGGAAATATTTAAAGAAATAAGGCTGAAAATTTTCCAAATTTGATGAACTATCAACACATAGATCCAAGAAGCTCAACGAATACCAAATACAAAAGCCACAAAGAAAACCAAAGCAAAGCTCATGATAATCAAACTGCACAAATCCTACGATAAACAGAAAATCTTAAAAGTGGCCAAAGGAAAAAAACACATCATACAAAAACAAAAAACAAAGAGAATGGAGCAATGTCTTTAAAGAACTGAAAGGAAAAATACGTCTACCTAGAATTCTACATTCAGAAAAAGTATTCAAGAACAAAGACAAAAAACTTTTTTTTAGACATTAAAAAGCTAAAAGAATTCATCACCATTAGACCTTCACTACAAGTCCTTTAGGCAGAAGGAAAATGTTAGCAGATGGAAATATGGATCTACACAAAGCAATGAAGAAACCAGAAATGTTAACTACATGGATAATTACAAGATGTCCTTCTTTTTATTTGGCGACACTGCGCAGCTTGTGGGATGTTAGTTCCCAGACCAGGATTGAACCCGGGCCACAGCAGTTAAAGTGCTGAGTCCTAACCACTGGACTGCCAGGGAATTCCCCAAGATTTCTGTTATTATTTAAATTGCTTTCAAATATAACTGAATGAAATGGACAAATTCCTAGAAAGACACAAACTACTGTAACTGACTCAAGGAGAAATAGTAAATATGAATAGACTTATAATGAGACTCAATTAGTAATCAAAAACTACCCACAAAGAAAAGTCCAGAATCAAATGGTTTTACCAGTGAATTCAACCAAGAATTAATAAGAATACCAATGCTTCACAAACTCGTCCAAAAAACAGAGGGAATACCTCCCAACTCATTCTATAAGGCCAGTATTGCTGTGCTACTAAAACCAGATAAAGATATCAAAACTACAGACCAATATTCCTTATGAATATAGACACAAAAATCCTCAACAAAACGTTAGCACACTAAATCTATCAACACAAAACACCATGACCAAGTGTGATTTATCCCA